AGAAAGAGGCAGGTTGCAATACCAAATCATTTYGTATCTAAGAACTTCTTTCTCATTGTTAGGGAGTGAACTGTGCTCCCTCTCTCCCCACTTCCCAACTTGAGATGAAGCAGTAATGGCCATGTAACTGTGGAGATAGGAACTTTAGGAGGTAATTAAAATCAAGTGAAGTCATAAGGGTAAGGCCCTAATCCAGGAGGACTGGTACCTTATAAGAAGAGGAAGATGGCAGACTTTGCTCTCTCTCTACCTTATAAGAAGAGGAAGATGGCAGACTTTGCTCTCTCTCTCTCTCTCTCTCTCTCTCTCTCTCTCTCTCTCTCTCTCTCAATGCATAGAGGGAAACACCATATGAGGATCCAGGGAGGATGTGCTATCTACAAACTATGAAGAAAGGCCTCACCAGGAATAACACAATTGGCACCTTGCTTTTAGACTTCCAGCCATCAGAAGAGTGAAAAAAATAAACTTCTGTTGTTTAAATTACCCAGTCAGAGGTATTTTGTTAGGGCAGAATAATACATTCACTATTAAGGGGGAGTTTAAAGCACCCTTCAATCTTATCATTAGAATTGGTCCCAGTTTCTATTGACCAAATGAGTGGAAGAAATACAACACTTTATCTTTTTATTTTAAATAATTTCTAGCACATGGCTACAAGTAATCTGCATTCTGACACAACCTGGCCTAACAATATGGATGGACACTTATGCTCTCACTGGGGACTATCATCTGCCTTTCTTGGTTTAGCTTTCATCCTCAGTAAGCAAGATAACTGTAACAATATCTGACATGACATCCTGACTGTACAATGTCCATAGGGACATACAATACCTCTTGTGCATCTCTATTAGGAGGGAAGAATCAGTGTTTTCTTCCCAAAACCTTCAGCATATTTCCTCTAGCATCTCATTGGCTACAATGGATCCACATGCCCACGACAAGGGGTATAGATAACCCATCATAGAGTTCTGTGCTCCTTGTTACATGGATCAATTGTAGCCAATGAGATGCTGTTATGAGATGTTGTTGTGTGTAAAAGCATAAATGAAGGAAAGAGAGTAGAACCGGAGAGAAAAAGAAACACTACTGGTTCCAGGTCAGGAAAGGGAAAAGCAAGGTATAAATTGAAATGCTGATTATGAAATCCTATGAGATAGGACTTGTCAGTATTCATTGAGAATCATTGGTGTGTATTTTTCCACTATTCAGCCAAAACAAGTTAAAAGCCAGATGCTGATTTTAAATTAAAAAACAACAACAACAACAACAAAAGCATTTAAAAGTCTGTATGTCTACCTAGGAAAATAAGTAATTCAAACAAATAATGGATGTATTCCATATATATTCCTAAATGCAATCAGTGATGCAAATGAGGTGCAAGCTATAAAGAGCTAGCTTGTTATAGTAGACAAAATAAGGGCTTTACAGCTAGCCAGCCTTAGGGTAGGTTTCAGGTCAAAAGGTGACTCAGCATGAGTTCTCCTTAAGCCTTAGTTTCTCATCTGTAGAATGGGAGTTGAGTATTAATTGTTAAAACAGTCTAGGATTTTGTAACAATTAATGAGAAAATACAAAGAACTTGGAACAGTTGCTGGAGCATAACTGGCTCTAGAGTAAATAAAAGTTACTTATTACAATTGATTCTATAAAATTTTATAACTGAGATGGAAGTGGCAGGGTGAGATAAAGTGGGTTAATTTCAGGAGAAAAATGATATTATCATTAAATCATTATTCTTTGCTGGTATCTCTCATAACCAATGGGGTATGTGTGTATGCTTTTGTGGGTGTATATATAAATATATATTTTTTGTTGTTGTTGTTTATTTTAGAGATCCACTTTTATTGGGGAAAATGAGACTCCCCAAATTCAATGAAATCATATAAATTCATATTTCCCTGCCAAAGACAAGATTCAAATTAGATGTTCTGACTTTAAGTCTGCTGCTCTGTCTACCACTTCCACAGAATAAGAATTTTTAGTCATTTTTGAATGATTCCTTGTTTACTGTTTTAAAAAAGTAGCCTTGGAATCTTTCAATCACTGAGTTGGAAAGACTTCATAAAAACTATGTTTATCTTGTGAGATCTGTTCCCAAACCACTTGGGGATGTTAATCTTACATATATGCAGGGGCAGAGAGTACACAGTCACTTTATTTCACTATGTATTCGTCTTTAAAATGAAGTTATACTTTGTGCTGGGGTTTTTGTTTGTTTTCTAAAGGTTAGCTATCAATAGATGATTTCTAATGTCTACAAATATTTTCCCAATTGACTGGTTATGGCATATGAAATTTCACCATCGGAATACATTTTATCGTTAGGGTTAGTTTTAAGAAAGTCCTTGCTAAGCTGCACTGCGAAGGGAAGAGGAATATTAACGTACTTACACCCATTGTTCTCATCAGTTTTCTGTTCTAATGGACCCCATGGAGAGTGCAAAAAGATACCAAAGGAGAGCTGGATTTGAATGCAAAGTGTAAAATAATTCCAAGGCATGGGGAGGCAGAGAGAGCTGACACTTCCTGCCACCTCCAGGAAGTGTGGGCAGCCAGGAACATGCAGACAGATGAGAAAGCAGGGGAAAGGAACAGAGAGGGTGGGATGCCAGAAGTCAGTGAAGCCTACTTAGAACTATTTAGTCCTAGAGCCATTCCTAAAAATGACTTAGAATTCTTCTTTGTTTTTAATTATGACTTTCTCCAGTTTTGTCATCAGCAAAGACGTAAAACAACTAACAGGCCAAGGTAAGGCATGGTAATGTTTCTTAACCACTAAACATGCCTAACTTGTTACATTTTTAGTCTTACATAATTTCACAGCACATATTGTTGGTACTTGATAAATATTTACGGAATGAATCCTTCCATGATTCTGCCCCAGTCTCTGTACTTCAGAAGTGATTCAATATTGAAGGCATGGTAATTTTAATGCTTGATGTAACCTTTCAAACAACAACAGCCAACTTTTGTAAGACTGTTGTGTTGTCTAATAGAACTCTGTCATGATGAGAATGTTTTTTAAATCTGTTCTGATGAAAATTGTAACCGCTAGTCACATATTGATATTGAATATGTGAAAGGTAACAAGAGAGACTAAGGAACAGAATTTTAACTTCATTTCATTTAAATGAAAGTAGACACAGGTTGCTAGTCGATACCTACTATATTGGACAGTGCAGGTCTAAAGGTTTTGTTAAATGCATTCTATTCCTCTTTTTATTCTAACTTATTTTTTAGTAATATCATCAATTATTATATATAAGTTCCTCTCAGTTTGTGTTTTATTCTTTTTAAAAATAGAAATAACTTGGTTTATCTATGGCAATTAGCACAGCAAACCAAAAACGGCTTGGGGAGAATTTATATGTCATTATTTTGAGGACTTTAAATATGTACTCTATTTCCAATTTCAGCTATTGACATAAATGGAATGAGTCTGTGGAGTAGAAATGGTGAAGCAGGAGTAGGTTGGACACTGAGAGTCAATCTTTCTTTTGATGGCCTCCTCCTTCCTCAGGAATCTGGCACCTTCCGGCTGCCTCCAGGGTCTGCAGGGGGCCTCTAAGGCCCTTTTTTGTAGCCCTCAATCTCTTAGCTTCCTAAAGCCCTCCCCCTCCCTTTCCAGAAAATGTAGGCACCGCTAAGTAAGGAGGAAGGGAGTAGTTAAGAGAACCAATATTAAGTACCTACTGTGTGCTTCCTAGACACTTTACATGATGCTCAGAAAAAAAATGCGTTGCTGTCATGAATGTTACCTCCCTGCCAAATAAATGGAGTTCGTAAGTTTTTTTTTAAATGGATAAATACATTTTTATCACGTTGAAGCACATACTATGATGAGGATGCAGAAACTTAGAGCAGTTACATGAATTCCTCAAGACTAACCACACCAAATGCTTTCTTCGCTTGCTGAATGTTTTTCTCTCCTATTTCAACCCCTTGCCTTGTTGCCTGTATCCTCAGGGTTTAGCTCTTTACCTTTCACAAAGAACCATTAGATAAACTGGCCAATAGATTTACACCAACGGATATAAATGAATTGATAGAACACCCCTCCAGGCCCTCCCCCCCTTTCTGGGGCTTTTCAAATTTTAATGTCAATCTTTTAGGGACATTGTCAATTTACAGAAATGGCTCCCTCAGAATTATATGCTGTTCAGGAGATGTATTTTGGTACTTCACTAGCATTAATTTTTTTTCAAAGCTTCCATAAAAGCGACGCATTAATTTATAAATTAAACTTCAATGGGGTTTGCGTTTATCTAAATCTGTATTGTTACGAGGAGTAAACGATTGATTGGTGTACTAGCCCCTATCACTACGGATGACTAGTAAAACGCATTAAAAATTGGCTCCTCCCATCTCTTCCTCCCACTCTCTCGGAACCTTCTATGCTTCAGAGTATGGTCTAAAGATGTAGGAGCATTTGGAAAGGATTTAAAAATTAAAATACGACGACGCGATTTTCAACACAAAGACCACAAACAGCTCTAGAGCACAAAAAGTATTTAACAGATCACATCCAGAAGTTGGAGGAGTATAAAGTACAAGTCGTCCAGTCCAGTCTGCAGAGACGGTTCATGCTTCCACCCTGCAAAAACCGAGCAAGCGACACGTCGCGACGAATTTCAGCTGCAGAAGAGGAAGAGCATCACCTGCAGTCCGAGGCGTGGGAAACGCTGCCGGAGCGGGTTTCTCAGCCCCAGAGGTGCGCGCAGAGGGTCCGGGGGCCGCTCAGGTGCTGAGTGAGAGGAACGCGAGGGCGACTAGGCAGGGTGAAGTGCAGACATTTCACCGAGGGGACGGCTCTGACCACAGGGACCGCGGCAGCAGGGGGTCCTCAGCAGCCACGGCACTGGCAGCCGCAACTGCCAGGGAGGCAGACCCAGTCAGAGAACCCCTAGCTCACTGGAGAGCTGGGGGCGAGGCGGGGCGCTGACGTCATCTCCCCTCCCCCAGTTCCTCCAAGAGGGAGGGAGTGGGGAAAAGAGACTGCGATCCGCCGCAGCTCCCGGCCGCAACTCCTCAACTAGGCGGCTGGCTGCCTGGACATGTCCTGACAAACTTGGCTTCTCTCCTGCCCTCTCCAGCGCTCGCGCATTCTCTTTTCGTCTCCTTTCGGTGCTCAAGTTTCCCCCTGGTCGGAAGCCTCTGGAGATGCGGCCACCTGGGTCCCAGCAGCGCGGGCGGATCGCACTCTGGTTGGGGATATGCTGAAGATCCAAGAGAGGCAAAGTTGGTACTTCAAACAGGGCTCTTAACAATATCCAAACCGCGTGCGAATTACCCAACTGCCTGGGAGCGCAAAGCCGAGGACTGGACTAGAGTGGTAAGTCCTTTGTTTAATACATGCTTTTTTTTTTTTTTTTTTTTTTTAGTTTAAAGGTAAATGAAATAACGTGGGCTGTTTGGCTCCAAGAGAATGCTGGATATGCGTGCATCTCGCAGGCTCTGCGCTCAAGGAACTGCACAACACTCTGGTTGTGCAGGGCTTGGGAATGAAAGATCTGTGTGCATAGCTTTTGGAACTCCAAAAATACATACAGAGCACTGTTCAAAAGAACTTGAGAAGCGATGCCGTTTGTACGTTATTTCAAACGTAACTTATTCTAGAAATGGTGCCCTGGGAGGGCGCATCGGGGACCGCATGATCTGCAGTGGCGCAGCGCCCTCTAGTCTGGACACCCGGCAAAGCGCACTCCTTGCCGGATTCCGCTCGGAAGGCGAACTTGGACCTGTGACTGCGGAGCACTCCAGGGACTTGGACGCGAGCTCAGTCGCCGCTGCTTCAGCAGCCTTAATTTACCACCCAAACGGGCGGTAAATTTCCAAAAATCAGCCGGGGTGAACTAGATTCAAAGGCAGTCCTGGAGGAAAGGTTTTTAGTATTGGGAACTGCCCCCTTCCCCTTAATTTCCATGAGTCTCTAGGGGATCGGGTTGATTCTTTATAAAGGACACATGTGGAACTTGAATCACATTTTTCTTTTATGTGAAGGTAATTCGACATTGGCCGAAAAGTCATCTCCATTTCGTTATGTAGGGGCTAAAGGATCAGTAAAATCCTGGCAGCACCAGAGTCTGAATCTCTCTCTGTGGATCCCGTGGCGACGAAGTGCAACTTCTTCCAGGCAATTAGATTTCTCAGTGAGCCTGGCAACTCGGGATTCTCAAATAGATGTTTAGTTCTAGTAAGCCTATTATTTATTAATAGATAACAATTTTCTCCAGGATTTTTTTATGCCATTCAGAAAATCCTGTAATTTTATGTTACGGAATGGTATTTTTGTACTTTTTACTATTCTTCCTTTTCCCTCCTGGTACTACACCATGCTCTCCGTCTCCCAACCCCTGAACGGCTGGTGTTGTTGTATGGTGGTATTTTTCTGAGAATTCAGCAAGGGGCGCAAACCGGTTAAGCTTGGAGATCAGGTCATTCACTTTCGAGGTGTTCCATGTATGAAATTGACCTGTAACACCAGTAGCACTTTGCGCAATTGTGGCAGTGGCCAAACAAGTCTTTGGATGGTGGTGTTTACTGAGTATGTGATTTTATGTGTATTCTAAATAGTGATCAGCGAATATGGTGCTATGAACCCGCATCCCCATTCTGTAGGCATTATTTTTTCTTCCCCATCATAACATGCTAGACACCATTATTTTTTTCAGTCATCTTTTTTAAGATGGCTTAGGAAGTGATATTAACTTTGAACCAAGGAAACAGTGTTCTAACACTGGTCTCTTTCGTCCAAATCTGTCTCGTCATCCCCCCTGTAGCTCCCTCCACCGGTCCCAGGAAAATCAGATCTCTTGGTCCACACAGTGTGAAAATGTTGAAGCCCCAGAAACTTTCCGAGGTCAAGTTCGCTCTCTTCTCTGGGCTGCGTCTCAACGCTCCTGAACGCTCAGGGTTTCGGCTGAGTCTCAGTTGCGCTAAGCCCGTTTGGAGATCTGTGGGTGCGGGGATGGGCTTTCAGCCCTGGGACGCAGAGACGGGGCGCTCCCCCCGCAAGAGTGTTACCAGCGTGGGGGCGTTTGGCACCGGCGTCGGGGGCTCCCTTTTCTCCCTGGGGAACTTGTAGTTGTTAGACTGGATGCAGTTTGCGGAACTATCTGGGGAGAGAGTGCACGAGGTGATTTGGCTGCCTTTTGTCCGCAGACCGAGAGTTGGCGAGGGGTGGGGGTGGAGGGGTGTTGGTGGTGGTGCCCGGAGAGGCTGGCGTTGGGGTTAGCTGCCGGACCCGGAAGGTTCTGGGGTCTAACTAGTTCTGCACAAAGAGGTCGCGGAGGAAATACCTCCTTTCCCCTCGGACTTAGCTTAGATTTCAGGAGGAAGTAGATTCCTATCTTAACTACATTCCTTTTGTGACCTGTAGTAGTTTATTCCACCAAACCGACGCAGACCCAGAACCCAGGCATTCAAATGCAGATTCAGGAATTTCCTGAAAGTTCTAAAAAAGGCTGAGGGACGCGTAGGGGACCCTGCCCTCAGGTCTTAGCTTTTTTTCTTTTTCTAAGCCAAGCGAATGTTTCCCCTTTCCTAAAGGGGAACATTCCATATTTTCACCAGCATCTGCGTGCTGGCCATAACTAACGGCATTAGAACCAGCCCAAAGCTGTTCCTCGCTAGCCCCGGTGCTTGCTCTTATCCCTGCACAGAGCTGGCCTTTTGTAGGTTCAAGGTTTCTTTTGACCCCGGGCAGATTGTTGTTGCCCAGGACCCGTGGGCTCTGAGTCCCGCCGCCGCAGAAAGTCAGCTAGAGTTTCCGCGCTGGAGAAACGAGCGCCGGCGCAGGCAGGCGTGGYCGCTGGCGGAGGGATATCTTCCATGCGGAGTTCCTGAGGCACCGGGCCGAGCTGGACGCCTYGGTGCCGGCAGCGCAGGCGGCGAGTGGTGAAGCCGGCTGCCAGCACCATGCGGACGTGCGGACCCAGTGAGGTCCCCGGCAGACCCGCTCCCCGCTCGGGGGCGCGCTGAGGCGACGAGGTGCGTGCCCCGAGAACGCTGTTGCCACTTGGGGCCAACTTTGCAGTAAGTTTGAAGGGAGGAAAGTTTGGAAAGTAGGTGAGGGCGCAGCGCCGCTCTGCGGCTGTCGGGCTGGCGCGTCTGTGCCCGGCGGGCATGCAACTTGTTCCCTCGGGCTGGCTGTTAGGTGGGTGCCTTCTTGAGGCTGTCCAGCTCAGGAGTCTGCTCCTCCCGGTATCCCAGTGAATCGGGAGAAAGAAAGAGCCCAGCTGGAAGGTGGTAAGGAGTTGAGTCCTCTTCTTTCCCCCTGGAAAGTTCAGTCCTGGCGCCCGGTTTGCGGCGGCTTGGGAGGATGCGGAGGCGGAGTGGCTTGGGGGTGGTAATTGGCGACGTGAACGGCATGGTAATTACTGGGTCTGGTGCTGCAGCGAGCCGGCGGCGGGCCCTGAGCGCGGGGTCTGGCCCGGGGAGCCATTGCTGGACATCGCGGCGGCCTCGTTGCGCTGGCTCCGGGCGGCCGAGGGTGAGCGCTGCTGACCCCAGCCCGGAACACCTTGCACCGCTCCGCTTCTCCTTGCTGGTAACACTCCTGCCGGCTCCTGGATTGACTGATCTCTTCCAGTTTATGAAACATTTACTACGTAGGTGAGATGAAAGGAAGGCCTGTCGCGGAGAGTGGGGTCTTTGAAATGGAGTCGCAGAGTTGTCTTAGATGTTTTGTGCCCTGTAGGAGTGCTGTCCTGAGGTTTAGGTGCAACTGGTTGAATGCAGATTGAAGACTTGCGGTTGCTACACTKCGGGACTAAATGTTTGTAAAAAATGCGGTTTGTCTGTTGTTTCTATGTTCTCTGGAAGAGAAACTTGTAAGATTTTCATTAAAGAGATTCTGGCTCTTCAGTACTTCTTAGTAAGGTGCTTTCTTTTAGGAAGGTAACTTTCTCTTAAGATTTTTTTTTTTTTTAAATGAACCCAGTAACCTGAATTGCAGAGCTTTGGAAACAAGGATGCAATTGTATGTATTAGGAAAATAAACTCATAAATATTTTTTATGCAGTTGATTTTTTTTTTTGCATGTGTTTGGACTATGGTTTCATTAAGTGGCTTTTGTTAACTCCATGGTGACTGGTAGAGGAGAGTTTTTTCCTTTCCTTTTTTTTTTTTTTTTTAATAACAGTGACTTACAAATCATAGGAGGTGCATCAACCTTCAATTACTTACTTACCTTTTCCAAAAGCAGATTCCTAGTGCATCATCTATTCAGTATTGAATAGTTTAAGAAGATACTTGGCGGGTGTTGAAAATAGGCAATGGTTGTGTCCTTCATTGGAAGAGTTTAGGTTATGTTATCTGACATATTTAATTGTTACAGGTACTCAGGTACCCTAGTTATATAGCTTAATTTTGGTATTTGTCTTTGTGTCTTAGGAAGACAGCTCTGATTCCACAATTAGAATTATCCCTTTTACCTTSTTATGTATTAGAAGGTTTATGATGTAAAAATACTTCAACTATTATGTAGTTGTAAAAAACAACAGTTGACTGTTATGTCAAATGTGCTGTTTAACAAGCTCAATGTTAAGTTTTGATTAAAACTTGCATTTGTATATCCATTTCTGGAAAAATTAACATCTTAGAAGAGCCAAATTCTTTGTCACTGTGGAAGTAAGAAAGACAGGACTTCATAAAAATCATTTTGGCCACCTGTGTTCTTTTTTTTCTTTTTTAGTAAGTGCTGGGGATTGAACTCGGGGCCTCACACATGCTAGGCAAGTTCTTGACTGCTGAGCCATATCCCCAGCCCCTTATTTGTATCTTTTAATTTGTCACTAAAAGTGTCTGTTGGGTTCTCATCATGGTAGTAAATCATTTAGATCCCTGTTAAAAGTTGTGGTGCAAATTAATACTGTTTTCACTTTGCTGGKTCCTTGCCTTTCTAGTGTATGTATGTCTTTAGGCTTAGCTCTAGAGCCACCAATGAATTAGTAATTTTCTTCAAATTTTAAAAATGGGACCAATCTTAAAGACTTTGTTTAAATCCTCAGGAAGTCTGCTACCACCTGTTTTTCATGCAAATATGTCTGATTTTACATAGAATCAATAAGGAGACAAATCAGTTTAAAACACTATTACTGCATTAAATACTATCTCAATGGCCCAATTTGTGGCTGAAAGTATCTCCTGATTTAATAGAAGCCATAAGGCTTACTGTGCGTTTTAATCTTTGTGAGTGGGAATYTACAGTAGGAAAGTGTTCTTTTGAGCAGATAATGTAGAGATGAAACCAAGTTCTGTCTTCTGGCCTCAGTTGTTCATTTTGCGAGTGTTGGCTTATCCATTTATTCTGGAAAGGAGTTTTAAAAATGG